ACTGAATAACCATTACTATAACATATATAGTATCTATTATACAATAGTTAGACTGAAATAAACCATTACTATAACATACAGCATCTATAATGCAATAGTTAGACTGAAATAAACCATTACTATAACATATAGTATCTATAATACAATAGTTAGACTGAAATAAACTATTACTATAACATATAACATCTATAATACAATAGTTAGACTGAAATAAACCATTACTATAACATATAGTATCTATAATACAATAGTTAGACTGAAATAAACCATTATGATAACAAATAACATCTATAATACAATAGTTATACTGAAATAAACTATTACTATAACATATAGCATCTATAATACAATAGTTAGACTGAAATAAACCATTACTATAACATATAGCATCTATAATACAATAGTTAGACTGAAATAAACTATTATTATAACATATAACATCTATAATACAATAGGTAGACTGACAAAAACCATTACTATAACATATATAGCATCTATAATACAATAGTTAGACTGAGATAAACCATTACTATAACATATAGTATCTATTATACAATAGTTAGACTGAGATAAACCATTACTATAACATATAGTATCTATAATACAATAGTTAGACTTAAATAAACCATTACTATAACATACAGCATCCACAATTTAAATGTTTAACTGAAATAAACCATATAATAGGAATATATCGTATCCACAATATAATAGGTGACAAAAATCTGTGGCGTCTACTTACCAAGCAAGGAGGGCATATGGACGAACGGGGGCGACGGCATTATACGTCCACAATACAATGTGAGACGGCGTAATGGTGAAATAATTCCTATAAATCATTTTATGAGACATTAAGAACTGGTTTCATGTCACATGTCATACCAACTTTGAGCGACTAATCTTGCAATAAAAATCATAATGATTTCCAACTACAATTTAATGGTAAAGATCTTACGGAAGATGAGCAACTGATATCTGGACCCATGGTACATGTAATACATTCTATATTATATATGATGAGATTTAACTGTTGACTGTAGTTCTGACCATTATTAGATACGGAGACTTTATAACCTGTCACAGTTTCATCAATAACTGGTACATCTACTGATCTTCTTCTACGTTTTCTAGATGGTAATTTACACGTTACTTCTCCAATACTCTCAAATACTGCTGTTTTTATAATTCTTCCTTCACTGACAGTAACTTGGTCATTTGTTATCTACAGTGTAGAAAAGGTACGTCTTACTTTTTTTGAAAGAATTGCACCTCTAACCAGGGGCGTATCGAGAAAATTACAGAGGAGGAGTCGAAAAATGATAGGCGTCTATCTGCGATGAGGTCCTTAAAGCCAGGGGTCTTGGGCTGTCAGAGGCCCACCAGAAGCCAGCGAACTCGAACTGTAGTTTCATGCATGTGTACTCTACAGTATAGTCAGAAACCTTTTTGAAGACAAGGGGTCATAATTTCGAGATTTTATCCCTCCGGTGTGTGCGCAGATTGAGTCGGAAGATACTCCAACCTTTAAAAATACAAATTACCTTAAATGGTAACAGTTGACACTTGGTCTGTTCAGCATCCACAAATCTTCCACCAAAAACAGCCACTTCAGTACAATCGTCTACTGATAAATCACAATGTCCATCAGCTTCTAGATTGTGTGCTAATGGTGGTTCATTGAGTGATACTGAACAGTCGGATCCAATAAATCCACTTTTACAGATACATTTCCCTGTAAAAGGAAGCAATCAAGGATACATTGCATAAAAGTCCGTACATGCAAGAGAAGTCCAAAATATGGCAAAATCGGTATTAAAATTGTATAGAAAAGGAACCCTTCAAAGGTGTTGGTCTGATTCGCACTCGACACTCATCACTACTACATAGATCAACGTCATGAGAATTAAATACATTTCATATCCACTGCAGTAGGAACATAATACTGAATTGACCCTTTTTTGATTTTTGTGATGTTTCTCACAGTAAGACTCTTGTCTATTGAGACTCATATTAAGTAAGAAAAAAGTCTGATTAAAAATCATATGATATGACGATATTGATATTTTCTGTAGAATTTTCTTTTTTAGGCTATGGCATGGTTATAAATGGAGTCATAATTTATCCCAACCAAAACACTATTGAAACTGGTAATACATTTTGAGAAGGCTTACCGTCTTCACAAAGACCCTGATCTGAACATTCCCCAGGACAAGCAACTTCTTTTACCATCTCCAGAATAGTTTTACCGTTTTCTACCTTTTCTTCTCTTAAAGTCCCATTCATTCTGGCTTCACGTATACATTGAGCACTGACAGTCGATACGGAGGCGAGAGCAAACACATCAGTTCCACTCAGCTATAGCAAACGAAAATGAAATTGAATTTTACGATCTACTTGAACCTAATAGAGCGTGCAAAGATAGCAATTTTACCAGAGCATTTTAGTTAAGGAAATATATTCGAGAGGTCTGACTGAATCCTTGAGATCTCTCAACGTATGGGTTTATACATTAAAGGTATAGTAATGCATGGGAGATGGCATGCTGGGCGCTAGTGGATGGTGGGATGCTACAGTGTCAGTGGCGGATTTTGGACGGCAAACGAACGGCATAGGGCCTAATTTCTCATTTTAGGGAGGGGGCATGGTATGGCAGGAAGTTGCGATCTGTTTTTTTTTCACGAATAGATCAATCAGCTCATCAGGATCAATCGGCATTCTCAAACAATTTAGTTGATTCTCACACATCACACTCCTATAGTAGAACACTTCATTAGTTTTAATATTGAAAAAGATCGCTCTACAGATGTATTTGACACCATTATGCTCAAATGTATCCTCAAAGTTAGCTCTATATTAGGATATTCAGCTTGTAATCAAATTTTTGCGCTCGTATTAGCTGCTTTTTTCAGCTTCTTGGCCTCCAACCGTTTTTTAGAACTTTCTCTCATTTGCCCTTCTGATTTTGAGCCATGATTACCTTACGCTGTTAAGTATAATTATTTTTATGTATATTATTTATCAGTTACAGAGTAGGCCCTATAAAATTTGTTAAAAATCTTTTGGAAGAATCTGGATTTGGTTATATGTGGGCAGTACGAGCATGGTGCATGAGCTAATGTGTGCTCCTTGTGCTCTGGCTGCTTGTTGATTGCATTGTGGTGCTTCGTTGTCTGTTGGTGCATGGCGTGTTTTTGTCTTTTGTCAGTTGTTGTTTGTTTGTCGCTGGTGTATTTTGTTTCATTTATTCATTATATTGTCCCATGGTTTGAATGTTAGGCAGGACCACGTCCTTCTGTAATTCTGACCCAAGTAAAAAAAGGAGTTCATTGTTATTATTATTATTTTTATTATTATTATTGTGATGGACCAAAGTTATTTTATACTGCAAGAGTTGTCTCCCTTTGTGTTATTCTGGAACTCACAATTTTACAGTCATTTTTAGTATACTGTTTACATTTTATGAGAAAAATTCGATTTGGTAAATTTCTTTAGTGTAAGCACACTGCATAAATATTTGTAATATCTTTGCTTAATCTTTATAATGGTCCATATTCACTGTTTCAAATCTGTACTGCCCTAAAAAGGTGAAAGACAGTATCTGCAAAAATGGCGTTTTGAGAAAATCGAGGTTAAAGTTTGAGATCTTCCCACTTCCGAACTAATGTTATGACTTTTACTAAATTTTGGTAGATACAACCAGTAATCGCCCCGAATTGAAATGTTCTATTATGATATTGATATCTGTGTCATGTCTGTGGTAATGTCAGATACTGCCCTCAACATGCTTGACAATACTTTTGACCATTACCTCCCATACGAAGGTAAATGACAGTATCTCACATTTTGTGGTATCGCACAATATAATTATGACAACATAACAGTTTAAATAGAAACAATAAGCCGAATTTGCATTCTGAAAAGGGTTACTGGAACAATAGGTAAAGCGAGAAATTGGACAATTATAATAAAAGATGGGTTTCCTTATTTCTAGTGTCAAATTAAGCAAATTATTTTGTTAATTGGTGTTTCTAATGAATTATCATGTATTCTTAATCATATTATGTTCTTCTTGTATATAATTAACACTTTTAACCAATCATAAATGTCCATGTATGTACATCTGGATAAAGAAAAAAGACTTTTTGACATTTCTTGATCGGTCACTCATTGGATTTTTGCTGGAAATTCTCTATAATTTAGCTAATTATGAATTAATTATGGACATGTGAGACACAATTTTCCAAATCATTAGAACACCTCTTTCTCTCTATTCATATAAGTATTAGCATTTCCATTTTCATAAATGAAAATAAGGAAACCCATCTTTAACAATTTTAGATAATACACCACCCCTGAAAGTTTTATTTCTAATGTTAGTACTTCTAGTCCTGGAAATTGTTATTGATGGGAATGAAATATGTCTAAAAGTGTGTTGAGAAGCCGTTTAAGCTAAGCTTATCATATTGGTAAATCATACAGAAAAACAAACAACAAAAAGAACATTTTTTTTCATCAAATACAATACTGAAACAAGATGATTTTATGAAAATGAACCTTCATATTTTTCTGTAGATTCATTGATAAGATCTTCACAGATTTTATCAATGTCAAAACTGGTCCAAAATATACGCCGATTTGTAGGCATCATGGGGCACAACATTTCAACAATATCAGTTTTCTTCTCAAGGGGTATTCCTCTGTTCTTCCGGCGCAGTCTCTTAGGAAACACCAACATTGCTCCTTTTTTTGTGAAGTCCAATTCCATGAACTCGGGATCATCATGGTTCAATTTGTAGGACAGAGTTTTCGACCCACGCTTCACTTTTATTTCAACCATTTGGGTCAACTTAATTCCAGATTTCTTCATCTTGGCTGCAGAATGGATAGGACTCCAATCACGAAAATCAATATTTGACATCTGTAAACCTTCTACATTAGAACACCTTGATACAACATCTGCAAAATCTGGAAAATCTAATACTTTGCCACCTTGTTGACGATTCATTTGCTGCTCTACCTGATGATGGACAGAGTCAGCAGACATAAATGTATGTCCGGTTTCAAAATACCTCAATGTTACGTCTTGAGCTAAAACATCATTATTGTTAACCAAAGTTAATAAGGCAGAAATGAGGTACCAATTCTTGTTTTGAGCAACACAGTTGTCCAGCCACAGTACAATATGCTCTGCATCTCCTTCAGAGCTTTCACAAAAGCGGAGGCAATTTCTTTGCCCTGCCTACCACCTATTCGCTCGTGCCATAAAACAGACAAAGATCTCTCTCTAATGTGTGATGGTTTCTTTGATTGCTTACCAACTGCAGCGAACGTTTCATTAAAAGCAATGATGCGTTTCTTAAAAATTGCGGTTTTGTTACCTGGCATATGAGGTAGCATAATAACCTTTTGAAGATCAACACTTCTTATCAATATGTTTGCATCTGCATTAGATGCAACAGTTTGATAGTGTGCTCTAGCTGATGCAGCTGCCTCGTTATGTCTCTTCCAGGTACTGCATCTGTCACAGGTAACGCCATCAGAAAGATCAGCGTGGTCTGATTTGACATGTAGCTCATGCTGGAGACATACCTCATATTTTTCTTCACCCAATTTAGTGAAACTGATCTTCATATCTTGGATAACCTGTCAATATGTATCATAGCTGCATTTTTGAACAGCAGTTGATTTAAAATCATCATATATCATACGAATTGAAACATCACTCGGTAGATATCTTCTGTTTGGGGCGTGAGCCCTCGTATAATGACTGATGCAGGGATTGAACGACTCAATATGGGCCTTTATTGGTTCTCTGTTAATCTTATTGGGTATCTGTATATGTTTGCTTAACAAGTCAATATCCGTTGGATTTTCTCCCATGTTATTTTCACATTTAAGACCATGTGATAGGCTTATAGATCAAATATCATATATTGTCTCAATGAAGGTTTTATTTGAAATTTTTACTATCCCCATTATGTATTCTGGTATTCTGCAGTAATTTTGTAACTCTAACCGAAGGAGTAATTTATTTTGTATTTTTGTTAATTCTTTTTACCCCACTCATAAAAATTAACATAAATAAAGTTTCATCAATGATTCCTGGTGTTGATGTGGTTTAGGCTATCTGTACTACTTGCAGAATAATTATCAAACCATCTCTAGTGACGTCATCTATTGTTTTCTCATAAAATCGCTCACATAAAAGACTGTACTACGAGATTTGATATACCTGAATCTATAGCTATCAAAACCTAGACATATAGAAAGTCTAACCCACTGGTTGCACGTTGAATTGACCAATTTTGTAAGTACGAGTTGCGACCCTTAGACGGAAAATCCATTATTACAAAAGAGAGAGATCGCGGTCATTGGTACATGCAAGTTGTGTTCGAGCAATTGTCTTACCTTTCGTTTTAAGTTAGTGATTTCGATATATTATGTCCTTAATATTATATAATTGATCATCCCTACAGCAGTCTTATAATAATAAGATTATATAAAATATTATGTAAGCATTTTACAGAATCCCATTTTAGACCGACAAATGAAAAGTCTAATTCACTGGTCGTCGATGGCTAAACTGACTGAGTTTTGTAGACAAAAGTTGTATCCCTTATTTCAATTTAATTTATTAGTTATCAATAACTTAAAATAAAAAAAAGTCTCGCCGAATTATAATTCAAATCAAATAATTCCCCTCGGGCTTTTACGATTTTTAAAACCATTTCTTTGGAAAATCCCTCGGGATGTGGGGTTTATTTATACATAAATGTGTATTATAATGTGTGCTGTTCGCTTTAAGGGTTACACACCGGGTCAATGAGTCGCTTACTTTGATTCACACATATTTATGAAGTATATTGTATATTAAACTCCATTTTCAGGAATATCAGGATTTTTTAATCCGGATCAGGAGTCGAAAGCATGATATCTGCTCTTTTCAAAAAGAACTAGTGTTTATATTCTAGAAAAACATACTGTTTTTTGTTATTTAAAATTCAAACATACGATTGGTTTAAAAATGGTTTTCTTGGAGCATTGTAAGCTGTGTTAATTTTTTATATATAAAAAGAGACAAATGTTTCAGTCTAACCAGCATATAGAGTTGGAGTTCATATTCCTATTCTAGTTGTGCGGTTCCATCCATAAAGGAAGGTATAGAACAGTTTGGAAGTTGAAGGAATGTTCCGAACAGGTCTATTTATAAATCATATCAAGATTCACATACCTGTATATCACTGAAACATGTTTCTATAGCCCCTTCAATATTAATACCTCTTATACCTTCACATCTCTTAATAACCATAGAATTATTAAACAGACCAGAACAATATTCATTAGCACTGTCCATAGTCCATCCATTCTTCCAACTTACATCCTAGAATAAAAACGTTATTTCCTATTATCAAAATACAGATAAAAGTGCTCAGAATCCGGATTTACTAACATTTATTATTAATTACTAACACACACTTTGTTTATTCAAATTAAAGAACTTAAAACTTATAGGTACTGTGCCTGTGTTTTCGTAACTTTGTCATTAGTACAAAGTTATAACCTTTACTCCCTAAAAAGAAGCAGAAATTTAAACTTAAAACTTCATTTCTTTAATTTCCTCTGCAAATGTCGATCGTAGGATCGATCAGGGCCAAACTTCAATGATATGAGACAAAATCACGAGTGAAGGAAAAAAGACGAGAAGTACTAAAGGAATTATAACTAAATCCCTTATCATATTGTTCAACAATAAAGGGTTTTTTTTTAAGTCAATTTTGTTTTTCCATTAATGTCAGAAGACTCTTATCATGGTTTTGTGGTCTGAATTATTATTTGTTAATCAAAACAGTCCACTTCCCAACTCTTCTTTACGACGAAGCAGACCATTCTTACTCTTTTCGAAACACCTGATAGTACTTGTCTTTGGAGGAGTCCATTACTGTATTGTTTTTACTCTTGATTTTGCCATGCTTTGGACGAGACTTTGATGAACGAATTGTCTTGCTTGTACGGACTTATTTATAATGTTTCATAATATACCCCGTAAATCGCAACAAATCGTCACTTAAACATTGATCATATGTGGAACTTACCCGCCTTAGTCGTCTGTGGTGTAATATTTGAGGTTGTGAGCCCCGAGGGAGTGATCTTTTCTTTCGTGAAGGATTGATACATCTCTTTTTATGAAACAGATCATAGTCCTCGTCTGGGGAACAGGTTGTCGCCCCTGGTACTCGAGTACAGTTCAGAGTTGTGTCTATTTTATCGTCATCTTTTTCATCACATCGACAATGTTCGAATCTGTTAGTGTCTGTAGGTGTCCACTCAGGAAGGGCTTTCCAGTTGCCCGGATTAAACAGGTTCATGTCTGCCTTAACTCTAAATAAATAAATAATTTGATAATTCAGTGTTCCATTTTGTATTTTAGACGTGTACAGATGCAAATTGATGCTATCAGTGTCCCCGGTATACTTAAAAAATTGAGAAAACCTCTTTATAATCCCTTTAATGTAAACACTTTTAATTTTGATCAAGGCAAAGGACAGTAGTTTTATTCATTGAATTCTTCAACGACTGTGTTATTAGTTGAAAGTTAAAAATAAAGATCACTTTATAATACATGTAGATCAGAGGTTTTCAACCTGTGGATAATTACCACTAAAGGGGTAATTTGGAATTTGTTGGGGTACTGATTTTTTTAGACAATTATAATTTAAGTCGTTCTATTCAGTCAGGCTTGAAAATAATTGCAGGAAAAACATAAAAGAATTATAAGGGATTTATAGGAGAAAGGGGGGTAATGAAATCGATCAAGGACCCTGACAGGGATAATAGAAAAAGAAAGATTGAAAGCCCCTAATGTTCTCAAGGAAAATGTGTAAGGAAAAAGTGTGCAAAAACTATAACTTAATTTGAAGCAACATCGAATTCGACCTGTAAGGTTTTTTAGTGTCTGCAAAACAGTGGCTATGCAACTTAAAGTATTAGGAACTTGTCAGGCAAAAGGGTTCACAGTCCAGTTCCTTCGTGGCCTTGATTGTCCAGTCAACCATTATGTCTTTCAATGCATTTTTTGTATGTTATTGACAGTTATATATCAGTAAAAGATTGAATTTGAGAAACAAAAATACGTGTTACTATTTATTACCGTAATGAGTTAAAATATGCGCCATTGTATTGTACAGCTGGTGAATCAATTGTTAATTCACCACATAAACCAAATGTTTTACCAATATCTCTTACTGACGGGTTTATATATATATTCAACCAGTTGTTACTAGTTCTATCCTTCACATCGATCTGTATTTTTGTATCGCTTGGTAAATATATCTACATAAAAAGATACTATCAATGTTTCTTACAATAAATTCCAAAATAATCTAACAAATTCTAATTAATAATAATGTAAAATGATTCATTCCAGTGTACTTTGTATAGGATAAAAAAACAATTGTGTTTGATATAACTTAGTAAATTTAATTCCCCAATAACTTTTATAACTGTTCCATAATTCATAAACTTTGATATTTGATATTTGATATTTTACACCGATTATGTTTTTACCTCAAACTTTGTTTCTTTTCTCAATCACTTTTATAGCTTACTGTTCTATAATTTGTACACTTTTTTTTATCTTGATTACTTATTTCACATTTAGTTAACCTACCTCAAACTTTGTTTCATATTTTTTTCTTACATCAAGAATATCGCCACCATCGTCACATAATATATAGTCAATATACCAGTTTTGTAGGTTACAGTGGTTGATCATAAAGGCAGTTCTTCCTACTCTTACTACAACACCACAAACACATGAGCCTCCTCCCCCTCTAGTGCAAGCCGTTATATTCACTTGGACCTCCACATTATCCATTTGTAATAAGTAGAATGTACCAGCTAGTTGAATTGATCTCCTGAATTAAAAGATTATAATCAAAATGCCAATGATTGATATACTTCACGTGAAAAGTTCATTAGCTGCTACCAATGTTTCGTCAAAATGTTGTTTTGGATTTCGGGATCCGTTTTGCGGTTCAAATCGTTAGTACTTGGTTTATTTATAGATCGAACATATGCTTAACGTATTATAAGGGTATAAAAATGCATAAGCATCTATCTGGAAAAGTCCCGATTGACAAATATCCCTAAATTGTTCAATATTCAGTTCCTGCCCAAAACCATACCCTAAAGGTGTATTCTCAAAGCTACAAATATCCGTGCTTCGCATAATGACCATTTTCTGCATATGTGTTCAGTACTGTTGTGTCATATATAGAACGTTTAGTTGGTTAGGCATTCTCTCTGTAATTGATAGTATATCTGTTACCTCGTGCTGCTGTAGAAATCCTTGAGATACGGATCGTTGTGAATTTGACATAATTTGCCTTCAATAAGTGATGTATTCTTGACTATATTGATCTGAAAATAAGTTAGAAATTATGAAGTATGAACAGCCAACTATAAGAGTAGGGACCTAAGGTACCATTCTCTGAACACCGAGAAAATCTCATTGACAAATGACGGAAACATTGACGTATTGGTAGACGAAGTAGCTGAACTCGAAATACGACATACAACAACGTATAAAAAATGTAAAACATAATACAGGCACATGTTAACATACATGAAAAGGCCAATACAATGAGAAAACCCAAACGTACATCCATTTTTTAAAAATGTTTTGTGATTAGTTATATTGTAACAAACAGCGTTAAAAAGAGGATAAATAGTACATTAAGATTATGAAAATCACATTAACGTGTGATAAGTCGAAAGAGTTTCAATATGTTATACAAAATGGATTATGAATTTTTGTAATACATTATTGACTCCCTTTTTGAAAAAACAAACTGTTGCCCAGTTGATATGGAACTTCAAATGTTCAAAAATTGCAAATTTTTTAAATAAAAAAATCAATTTTCTGTTTCAAAAAAAGGATCGAGACAAAGTTACAATACCACAAATAGTTCAAATTGGATGAAAACAACGAATTTTTGTTTTTGATTGCGAACACGCGTAACTCTTGCATCATTTGGATTCAATGATAAATTGTCAATATTTCAGATGAACATCAGAAACCGGGCTATCGGAAGTGACTTTGTCAAACCAAAAGATCTGACGCCCAAAACCAAAATTAAAAAACCTTGATGACACAGTTTTATTTGTACTGGTGCCCGCCTCCATATCCTAAGCTGAAAAACTAGATATATACATAAAATAGTACAAAAGGAGCGCTTTATGTACACTTTATAAGGTCGAAAACACCAATTAAGTTAAAATTACCGTTACTGGTTCGAGGAAGTAATTCTGCCAGATACGTTGACCGAAATATAAACCTTGTGTTCGTAGAAATACTTTTTTTTGAGTAACAGTTTGTCCATAATCCTCAGTTATAGTTGAAGTGATCTCTAAGTGATAAAACTCGTTCCATTCTGAAGCCTTGATAGAAATACCACACCCACCATTAGCTGTAGGAGTAGGTTCACATTGATCTTCTCCTTCTTGGGGTATATCAGCAGTAATTGTTAATGTACACCCCTCGGGTTCAGCACAGCCAATAGGAACTGTAGATTTAATCATTATCTTCGCCTTTTCGCCTTCCTTTATCTTTAAAACCGGAGTCCAAACCTGAACATGATATAATGTTAATGAAAAGAGGTCAAGGTTTACTTTCAAGTTCACAAAAATGAAGACGAACGCCATGTTCAAATAATACATTTTGCCAGGACGGTGACATTATTTAGGGTTATGCTGGGGTGCAATCCTGAAGCCCAGGTTAGCGAGCAAGGGTCTAACTCACTGAACCACTACAACCCAAATAACAACCAGAGAAAAATATTGGTGACTCACTATGATTCCAATGATTTTTTGTTTACTAGATGAAGGTAAACTCTTTCTTTGGGTTCCGCCAACCATCATGGCAGCTTTGATATCACAACGAAGCTGTAAGTACAACAAATCAATCCTCATTTACAATTTAGTAAATATACTTATGTACATCCCATTGATGAGCCGATTCTACTTTGTTTCGCCAAAAGGCACATGTTAACATACATGAAAAATTTATAAGAAACCTTTAACCCAGTGTGGTAGCTAGGATTTCATTGAGGGGGAGTGGGGAGGGGAGCGTCCATGCGTCCCTTTGCTGATGTAAGAGGGCACTAGTCAAGGTAAGGGTCAGGATACATCTAACGCGATTTTTTTTTCATTTTTTTTTACGTAAGCGTATTAGGGCCATTCATTTTTTTTTTTAATTTTCAAGTTAGTACTCGCGTATCCTGTAAGCCTAACTGTTTGCAATCATAAAACCCAGAATTATTATGGGTAGTTAATGGGACAAAACTTAAAAACAGGTCTACGACATCAAGAAACTCACCAAGACCAATTTTTGCACCACGATTTGAATTGTATCTTTGGATACACATATTGCCCTTAATTTTGTTTCAAATTTCATTGATATTTTAATTTATAATTGTGGTTTGGAATAGTTTCTATTTCTGAAATAATGACCTGGGTTATATTAATACCTGGAAGCCGAGTGTAGTGATGTTATTGTCCCTTAGCCTTGTATCCGTAAAACTTCTGATTTTATTGACATCATTATAATCAGTGTATTGAGACTCGAAAACAACCACGTCATCTACAAACCTGCATGCACAATACAATAAGAAATTCTAAAACAGTAATTGAAACATGTTGTTGGCCAGAATTCTATGCTGTGAGATCATCAGACAACTAATCTATTTCAGTCAGTGCCTATACTGGTATTTAACAAGAACATGTAGTACTTGTTCTTGTGTATGCACAAATCGATTAATAACTTTAAAGGTGAGGTGCGTTATAAACATGATCTTTATCCAGTGCGAAACAAAATATTGGTAAATTGTGAAGAAAATTTTGGTTTGAAATAATGTCATTAGAGGGGTTATCATCGATGTTCTTCAATCGCTCACGAATTGTCTGAATTGTCAGAATCCGAACTGTCAATGATGCAGGTAATAGGGGCTGACGAGGAAAAGGCGTCTAGTCGTACGTATGGGACAGTAGCCCGAGGGCTACAGGCTGTACACGTTAAAGATCCCTCGACATTAAATCGAAAAAGAGCAGGGTAATGCCTCTGCTCTGGCAAAATTTCTCTCATTGCACCCTGCAAGGCGTTGCCCGCCTTCATTAGCCAAAATGGTGCAGTAGGACATAAAACTCCATACATTATATTTCATTTGAAATAGTGGAGTTATTGAAGGTTTGACCGAAACCTTGTTTGGAGTTGGAATGAAACTATAATAATAAATCAACCCACCATGTCGCCTTGTATGTTAAAGAACTATTTCTTGGGTTCGGAAAAACACACTCGAAAATGAATTCCTCTTCAAAGTCTGAACCAGGAACAAGTCTTAAGTTTGTGTTGACAGTGGCATTTGTTCTGAAATTAAGTGGGTCTGAAAGAAACGAAATGAAATAGAAATGTTACATCCTTGTTGCTGGTAAAACACGGGCACTTCAGCCACAAAATATGGGCAACCCTGTTAGAGCTCCCCAAATATTATCTTTTTACGCAGCAATCGCAACAAAAACCTCGGGCAGACGCGTCTTGGAGTTGTGCTTCGCCCGACATGTTAACTGTTCAAAATTTTCTGGCGTAAACCAGCCAGAAAACCCCCTCACCCGCCTCCCAACTAGTGCTGGGATAATTATCGAAAAATCGATTATCGCTCTTATGTCATGTACCGATAACGTTTTTCGATGGTTCATTTCAAAATCGATTATCGCAAAAAATAACATAACCTGTTAAATTACTCCCGGGGCCAAGGATATTCGACTCCGGCCCGGGACCATAATAAAAACACGCTTTCAGGCAGTCACGTACCGCAAAATAAACTAAGCTAAAGTCTTTATTGTCGTATGTTCTTCCATTTCTTTCATTGTATATGATCATAACAATCATTAATAAGAAAAATTTCATTCACAATAAATTAGTTCAAACATTTGTTATTATACGTATATATAATTAACTGAATACAGGTACCGATATTTGGGCATGACTTTCCCTTTATTTTTCACACGATTGTAGTTGTCTCCCTTTTTTTATCAAGTCTGTTTACGTAACGACAATGCTGATTGGATAATCAGTGCTGTTTATAAATAGAAGGCTAATCACAATTCGTATAACAACGGTGGTTAGTATCTTAGTCTTGGTTGTCAAGAACGTGTGATCAAGACAATTATTTTTACCATTCAACGGTACATTCATGCCGATGGCGATATTGACGAAAACTTATCTTCCAAACGTCTTTAAAACAAAAAGATTGGTCACATAGCGAAGAACATGATAATAAACACAATACACATACTAGTATCTAACACTAGCATTACATGCAAGTAAGTGGTAGGCAGCCTAATAGGACTTGAAATGAGTCGTCTACTTGACCTAAAATTTGACAACATTACGATTTTTATCGATTATCGATCGGAAATGCCTAACGATATATTGCCGATAATCGATGATAATTTTAAACTCGATTCCCAGCACTACTCCCAACAGGCCTTCGGCTCGCAGACCTATGAGGGAATTTCGCGTCCACTTTTGTGCTTTTAAGGACATATAGATGATCTGTAATGAAAGAATGTAACGGAATGTCCTACCACGAAAGAGCCAAGATACACTTACCAGCTTCCAGTCCATCTGAAAGAGAGTAAATTATAATGTTCATTTTTAGGCTTACAAGATGTTCATTCAAACAACATACATCGTGTTGAGGGCTGATTGAATTTAAGTTTAGTAGACAGGACTTTTGTTCGCGAACACCATTTTGAAAGAAAAATGTGAAACTGATCGAGAATCGATTGCGATTGAAACAACATGGTTGCTCATGATGCAAATCTGAGTGGTTGTCGTGAAAAAGGTGTCGGGTGGTAGAATAATAGTTGCACCATTTGCTACAATTTGTTGGAAATTGCAAAAGAGTAGGCTGACATAATTACTTTCCTTTCCCATGCCAAAAGCAACATTACCTAGACAATATGCAGCGTCACTAGTTGGTGGTCGTAATAATTTGTATACGGTTAGTCGGTCAGAGCACTTCAACGCCTTGATATCTACTGGGTTTGTACAATCACGAATACAAGCTGTAACGTCTACTATAATTCGTTCCTGTGCTGGCTCACCTATTAGTAAAAAGTAAACAATATAAGAAAAAATAACTGGTACTTAGGTTGAATGCCAATACATGCATAACATAAATATTATTCGTTAGCTATCTGGACAAACCAAAGCCACTTAAAATTAGATTACCATTTATTTTTGTTTTTTTTTTCTGTGATTATAGTCTCCAATGAGCCAAACATATTAGAAAAAGAAACAACATTGTAATATAATTTCAATCAGATTTGTTCATAGGTAGCTGAAATGATGGGCTTGCTTTCATAACCTTTTAGACTGGATTTAAATGGACATAATATCAGAAGTACTCGAAATGTACAAATAGCACAGTTCCTTAAAAAATATCTCGAAATAGCAATTTCCCTTTCTATAAGAGGATTTGAGCTGACGTCACATCCGGGAGTTTCCCCGTCTAAAAATAGTCTGGCCGTCAAGCGTCAATGAACGGTCATTGTTGACTAGCGTAGGTTGCTGTAACCGTGACAGAAAAACAAGTTCCATCATAATCCAGGATGATATGATTTATTAAAATTAAATACTAATATGGTATGAGATTATTATGATTTTTTTCTCAAACCTGGAGCGTGCCTAGGTGAACTTGATTTGTTTAGGAAAGAGCATGCTAGATTTGGCTGCAGATTAATTAGATAACAAAAAGTGTTATATTTCATCTGGTACCAATCCCCAAATTAGAATCCTGCAAGTAACCTTAACACATTTTCAACGTGTCCGATTTTTAACGAAAGAAAACAAATTATTCTTTGAGTAGCTTGACTGCAAGTTCAAAGGGAGTCGATTGGAATATCCAGATGTCTATAATTGTCATTGATGTGCTATAGTCACCTACGTCATGTTGATCGAGCGTCATCTAGTATATCACGCAGATTGAGACGGTCAACCAGTGCGCCAAAATGACGTCAAAAATGGAATCCCTTAATCCACCTATATATATTCAAACGCGGATAATTCTGAATAATTCTGGATTCTGGATAATTCCGCTTCTGAAACTAAAGTACAAGTGGTCAAACGAATGGCGAATCTGTCCCTTTAAACTGGATCCCTTCACCAACAAGCTGCTGTAGCTGATTCACAAACGTGGGAGTGACCAACTAACAGTATAACAATATACATATAATCAGCTTCATTGATATCTCAGATTATGGAGATTATGTTTTCAAAATCGTCTGCCAACCTTGTAAAGATCTTATCTTTATATCGCATGGTATTTTACTCTTTTCTTTGTCGAAAAAAAAAACATTGCTCAAAATCTATTTGAAACCATGTTTGGGTGTTTATATTAACAAAACAGGATAGATGGAGTAACGTGTTGAATTGCTGGTATGATCATCATGTGATATCATTAATATTAATTACCTCAGTCACTAATACAAATACAAATTACAATGTACATGCTAGTGATGTAAACCGGGCCGCCTTTAGTCGGGTAGTTCGACTTTCCTTCAAGTAGTCCGGTATTGGTCTGGTCCGGGATTAGGTGGTCCGGTATTATTATGGTCCATATGCGATCCATCGGCATTTTCCTAGTTCGAGCACGCTGGCATAATGCGATGACACCAAATATGTGGGATCATCTGAGGTGGCTATATAGCCAAACCTCAATTCCAGTATCAGCACTGCACTGAAATGGCCCAGAAGGCCGAAACAGTACTGTCTGCAGTTACATTATATATATATATATATCTAAATGATTCTTAGAAACATCTAGTGACATCTGACTGCTGCTTAGTCATATCTAGTGCATAATAACATCACACACCAAGAAAGGCAAAAATGTCAACCCAGCGGTCAAGAATGCGGTCCAGGCTCCCAGTACCGATATTTTGCTGCTGTACCCTACTGGACTTATGCTGTCCGTTCTGCGTCATTATAACCTACTAAAATATTACTAGGTAGAAATATATAATAATTTCGGAAATGATGGTATTATACTTACTTTGTAGAAAGATTGGGTATTTAGCACCACAGTGTCTACTAGCAGGTTTTACTGTCGGAATGATAAAGTCGAATGTTCCATACCATCCTTCTCTCATAAACCTATCACTTAATGTTGTTGTTTCATTGTAATTTACAGATCTATTTGTTTGGTATGTGAAGGGCAAAAACTGTTTACTATCACACAACTCTGAAACTAACAAAAAAGTAAAGGAGTTAAAGATGGCTTTCCTTGAGTTAATTTATTCATCTATAAACTGAAGGCCAAAAAAACATTACCACGGTTTGAAAACACCCTAGATAAAAAACAACACAATTTAAATGATTGGATTGAAATGTTTAAAACCGATTGATAAGTCAACAAAACTAGCACAACAAATGGCAAACGTGTGGTTTCCGGTTAAGGCGTCAAAATACATGTAGCTCAAAGTGAGGTGGGGTACAAAAACTTCAAAAAACTAACAGGAAAACCACTGTCCAATATCATTCACAATAAAGGCGTATGTGACTGCCTAGGGCTTCGACTTTCGTAACTGAAGACGAACCCCAACCAGTCATTGCCATTTAAATAAATTCTTTGAGAAGGACAAATAAATAAGATGAAGGACAAATAAGTAAGGTAAGGGCCAAGGCGAAAAAGTGAAGTGCTAGTCAGTAAGGTGAAGGACAAATCGATTAGATGAATGGCAAATCAGTAAGGAAAAGACAAATTAGCAAAGTGAAGGACAAATCAGTAAGGTGAAGGACAATTCAGTCAGGGTAATGGTTAATTAGTAAGATGAAGGACAAATCAGTAAAGTGAGGAAAGAATCAATGAAATGAAGAGACATTAGTAAGGTAGAGGACAAATCAGTAAGGTGAAGGACAAGTCAGTAAGGTAAAGGTCAAATCTGAGAATTGAAGGACACTTTTAAATTCACTTTTAAAGTAGTACAGTTTCTTTTGGCCTTCGGGTTTTATATTACACGACTTAAACTTATACCAATCGAAAGAAGGGGTGTTCTAATGATTAGGAAAATACCAGTGTTTCTTGCTAGTCCCTACTCGATATTAGTCAATTAGGAAAGTAACGCAGACGAATTTTCTGACGAGGGACCGTTCGAGAAAGATAAATTAGTCTTTTTTTTAATAACCAGTCTGTACTGATATGGACATTTATGATTGTTTGTTATCAAAATATCCATTCTTAAATATAAATTGGAATATTTTTGCAAAACCGGAAGTGCCACAGTTCAACATGTGCAAAAAGTCGAAAATCGGCTCTAGAAGGCGAGTTTTTGCATCGATTTTCTTCGGGTTTTCATTTTTACAATCTACCTGTAATTTCTGACCTGATAGCACTTATACAATTACGAAATTTGAAAATTCGTGGCTCACTTTTTCGATCAAATTTTTCAAATCTTTTTCAATTTTTTTGCTTTTGCATCGATTGATCTGAAATTTTTAATGCAAAGAGTGTTCATTAATGTTAATAATTTGGTACAGTCAAATGTTGTACGTCATGTCCGCTTTTAAACAGGCAAGCGTCTGAATTTCAAATCTACTTCCAGTTAAATAACCTCCGGTGTAATTTATGTAGGTCAACAAAATTTAGCTAATCTTTAGCAAATAAAATTCTTTGGCCGATTTTAAAATAAAATCTAGACCGGAAGTGATACTTCGGCCGCCATATTGAAAACACACTTTTGTAACACTCAAAATGGGGCCTCAAGGTAAATGTTGATATGCTCAAAATTGATGTGTATGTTTTCCGCAATCGATTGCGCTAAAAACATTGGGAGCCGAATTTTGAATTTCGATTTTCCTTTTTTGCAACTTCCGGTTGAATTTTTTTCAAACTTTAAACTTTGACCTTGACCTTTTATGACCTTGACCTTTATAGTGTTGAAGGTCATTGACCTGGGCTATCAGTTGATACTTTGACATTTGACCTCCGACATGAACTTCCGGTTTTATAGCTGTCTGTAAAAAGCCAAAATCGCAACTTTGGACTGCTCTGGCACGTGACCTAATTAACCTAGAGGGTTAATTTTTTGGTTTCCTAATGTCCTTCTCATGCACTTTATATTGATATATAACAATCGTTTTTTTAAAGGAAAATTGAAATTCTTGATTTTTTTCAAATTTGAGGGTTTTTTTTTTGACAATATATGTGTCTCTTTGAGCTTGGTGTATGTATATCTTATGACCTATTTGATGTAGAACCTTGACATTTGGAATACTACAAGACACTTTGAATACGAATTCATCTATGACAAAAAAAATTGATGTGGGCGTGGCACATCCGGGTTGAGTTACTAATTGTTTACATTTAGAGGCAGGGGCATAACTTGCATAGGATGCGTTTGTTCAAAAAGGGTCTTTGCACACAATTACCTCATCCTTTTGGCCAGTTTGTGTTAACAGCTCAGTTGTTTCAGCTTTATAGTTCAAAAAAATGAACGGGTTTTAACATTTGGTTATTTTCATTTTTCGATTTTGACCTTTGTTGACTTTTGTTGACCTATACCTTTTTACCTGTATGATGTAGAAGCTTGATATTTGGAACACGACATAACATTTTGAATATCAAGTAACCTATGCAAAAAAAATTGACGTGGGTGTGGCACATCAGGGTTAAATTACTCATTATTGACATTTTTGGCCAAGGGCATAACTCGCAAAGTATACATTTGTTCAAAATGGAACTTTGCATACAATTACCTCATGTATTGAGCCACTTTGTCTTAGAAGTTCGGTTGTTTCCGCTTCATAGTTCAAAAAAAGGAACAGGTTTTGGAAATTCAAAATTTTCAATTTTTGACCTTGACCTTCGTGACTTTGACTTTTGTAGGATCAAACGTCATTGACATTGGTTATTTATTTATACTTTTATGTTTGCCGTCCTATGTCAACTTCTGGTTTTATAGCCGTGTGCAATTTGAAATTTGATGACTTATATCTCGTGATCTTGCCCGTTTTAGACCTTCTCCTTTACAAGATCAAAGGTCATTGACCTTGGCTATCTGCTGATACTTTTATTTGTGAGGTCTGGCGTCTACTTCCGGTATTAGAATCTTCTAAAAAATAAAAATTTATCAACTTTAGACTGTTCTTGCGCTTAATTTAATTATCGTTGATGGTTGATTTTTTCAGGGTCTTTAGCAAATTGCTACATTTGCAAAGTCCCACTCTGTGCCACGTGTGGCTCTAGTATTTCTTTATTATAAGCAACAGCACCTCGAGTAATTTGGTATTCCATTTTTCATCTCCAGCAACAGGAACAAATTTAAATTTCATTTTGCAAATAGATAATTATTACTTAGACTTAGTTTTAACTTTCCATTTCTCCTCCCAAATAGATTTAGCTCTTAATATTAAAACACGAAAATATGCTCAGTAAATTCATAAATAGCTTTTGAATTCGAAATTCTCGGGGGTGAAGTTTGGATTGTGGGGGAATTGAAATCGCTGATCCTCGGAATGACTGGTTTGACATTGAAAACGATATAATACGAACTGCGTATCTTACTTTTAAGTTTTTAGTTTTTTTTAGTTATTTGATGTTTTTCAGTACTATTAGGGTGAATGGCGGGGGATTTTTGTCAAGGGGGAATTGATTATAAAGGTTGGGAAGCAGCGATAAAAAAAACTGAATTCAGAATCCATTTTAGTGACTGACCAATCAGATGGCTGAACCACTTAAATCATCAAGTTAAGATTTTGAAAATGTTATTTTTATCCATCGAGTAATTTTTCTATTCAAAAGAATGTTGATAAATAGTATAATGACTTAAATGATTATTATATCATTAGAGATGTCCCCTTCCTTAGACCATGCATGTTACACTATTACTGACTAGCGTAGCTAATAGTGGGACAAATTGAATAAAATTTCCATAGAATTTTTCACTTGGTGATACATCACCAAATTTGGTACAGAGATTCCTCAGGGCCCACTTGTTCGGAAAAGGTCGCTATCCGGGTGAACAAAAACAACAGCCTTTATTTTCTCATAATGAACGTTAAGTTAAAAGTGACACAAGCCGTTTGCCACCTAGAATGTCTCACCAAGTGAAAGATTGTTTCAGCTATGTTGCTGTACTATAAACAAAACAACCCTGAAGCTACAATTGAATTATCGGTGTGAGTTCGGGCAAGAATAAGAGTAAGATTTAAACTGTATTTTCATTAAAACTTCAGAAATACATTCAGGATTCAGTTTTTCTTAGAATGTTCTTATAGTCACTATTATCAAGTCTCACATTCCAGTTAACAGTTCAATTAGTACAGATTAACAAGTAACAATGCGTCTTGTATTAGGTTTCAAACAGTCTAATATCCGTTGAAGGATCACAACAATCGGATGGTGAATCTGTCCCTTTAATTCAAATGGAAATAAATTCGATTTCTCGACATTAGTAAGAACACTTTAACGTGAATCAAATGCAGAAACTCGACATACAAAATTACAGCGCATGATTCGTAAGTTAGCATAGTTTCATCAGTCTTCCAAAAACCGACAAAGTACGCACACAATGAGCTAATCAAGATATAAAAAGCAAAAGATTCTCGAAAAGAGTAAACTAATTAATCGAAAATATTCAGCCAAAAGTCAGTGGTTGGGCAAATGCCTCCATTTCCGAGAAAAATAGATTGAACCCCACTGCAAATTCTTCTTGTTTATTACCAAGAAATTTCAAAATATGATCCTCATATGTATTTGCTCTTCAATATTTATATGTCAGATTGCAACAAAATTTGCCGGGTGGGTGGAAACTCCCTTACACCCTCCATGGAAAACATGCGCCCTGTTTCGCTCCAAGAACTCTTCAGCATTTGGAATCTCAATCCCACCAGAAATCCTCCTCCCATTAAATCGTTCTTCCTATTTTTACCGTAAGTTCAGGAGGCTGTCCCCGCTACTATCATTTAGCAGAACTCGATACGATAGATTAAATACTTACCAGTCTGGCTGTATCCATAATCAAAAATAATCGAAAGACACAAACTAATGAATAGCGACATTCCTACTGTACACTAGCTCGATAGCTGGCTAAATAGAACACCTCCCCTTTTCAAAACACCTTTCAAATTCTACTTCCTTGTCTTTTTTAAATAGAAAGAAAAAGATGGCGCTCTTTAAATTTAACATAATACGCATGAATAGTATTGAATACTCCTCGTTATTTTGATTATTGCAAATTATTAATAAATGAGATTAATCATTTAGGAGCATTTGCCAAATTATCTGCATATCATAATTACAATTATTACACGTTAAAAAACGGAACACAATTTTATGGTATGCTACGCCTTAAAACCGCATTATGATGAAAATGTGTTCCGTTACTAAAGAGTAGTATACCATACAAAAAAAAGAAAGAAAGAAACAACTGGATTTTACAAGGATAAGAACTTTCACAGTTAAAGATCCTTTCTTTCAGTTGATCCTTGGTTTATCGGACTTTCACACGCCGATCTAGATTGGAACCCATAGCCGCCATTCGCTCGACGTAGCTAAGCAAATGACGTCATGTAAAGAACTAACGTTCTAACCGCATGTACAATAGAACCTCACAAATAAAATTGTACTCCGTTATTTAATGTGACCTCTACCTCTTAATGTCGCTTCAGGAGTAATTATTGAAATGAAATCAAATAATTCAGGTTGAAATCCATCTCATCCAGATCATGGCATCCGCGATGCATTCCATTTCCTGTCCATGTAATGTTCTTTGAAAGATTCTGGAAAAGTTATGTTGTTTCAAGTGTGTCATGGAAGCCGAGTTGGACTCAGTTAGTTAGGCACATATAACTCGCTATCCTGAAGTTCCGTGGTTGAACCTTGGCATGGGCCGCGATCCTTTGGATTTTTCTTTGATGCAGGTCGGAGGGGCATAGAAAAGCGTCGTTCGTCCGATGCCTCGTGTGCTACAGGATGCTCACGTTCAGGTTCCACCTGAAATTGGAAATCGAGTTGACTTGACTTTTGTCCGGTGAGCAACTGCAACTGCCCTTCACTCTGTTATGACGCCGTCAAGGCCGTAAAATAGTTTCAGTTGTCGAGGTTACCGTAATTCAGGCGGATCTGGGGGCAACAGGAGGCAACATTGCATAAATAAATAGACCATTTTCTTTACCATAAAGTAAAATAAAATATAAACATCTTTTTTGTACTAATGTTAGAAAAGATATTTTGAGTAAGCATTTTAAATAAGATAAAAAATCCCCTTTCTAAAAACACTTTCAATTTTACTTCCTTTTCCATAAATTGAAAATGAAAAAAATATAGATCTTGTGTTTTCGCTTCATTGCACTAGTATTGAAGACATTAAAGAGTATTTTATATACTGCAATAATATTGTATAATTTATAAAAATAATAATTATTTTTGAACTAATTTGTATATAGATACTGTCAAAACAGACTAATACGTGTATATGCTTTATGCTTGTCTCTGAGTAGACTATATTGTATTGTTTTATCTTACATCATGTACTTTAAAGATGGGTTTCCTTATTTTTTAGTGTCAAATTAAGCAAACTATTTGATTAATTGGTGTTTCTAATGAATTAGCATGTATTCTTGATCATATCATTATGTTCTTATTGCATATAATTTAAGTTTTAACCAATCATAAATGACCATGTATGTACAGTCTGGATAAACAAAAAAAGACTTGTTGACCTTTTTTGATCGGTCACTCATTGGAATTCTGCTGATAATTCTCTTCTAATCTAGCTAATTATGAATTAATTATGGACATGTGAGACAAACTGGTATTTTCCTAGTCATAAGAACACCTCTACTTTCTATTCATAGAAGTATTAGCATTTTGATTTTCATAAATGAAAATGAGGGAACCCATCTTTAAATAGAAATAAATATTGTTTAAATCATAAAACAGTATCTGCTTTAATTATTACAAGATCATTGTTTTCCGATTCATTGCAATTCCTGACTACAATTCATTTTTAATTTATACTTGAGATGCTGAACTCAAATGTAGTAAAGCAAGAGCAGGCTTCAAAATATTATACCCTAAAAAGCATGTTATCACAAGGATCTTTATAGTATCTGTTTCAAACATCAACTCTTTCTTTGTTTACAGGGTGTGTATGATTCACGATTGGATAAATGTGGCAAAGATTAGATCACCTTTCGTTATAACTCAATACAGCTTGGTGTATAATTTTGGCTTTTGTATTAAGACTGGAAAGGTTCATAAAACCCCCTAAATAAATCGAAAGACGGCTTTTGTTTAAAAAATGTTTTAGAGTAGAACTTTCTGCAGAAGATCTCTACAGAAGAAGAACTGCAAAGTATCAAGACTTAGTAGAAGAATCAGAAGAAACCATGGGAGCATGCGATACAAGGAGAAGCACGATGAATATAGATATATTCATAAAGTACATAGATTCTGGAAAATGAATTGAAATAAGCCTAGCTTCTTTTAAGACTCACACTTCAAATTTGTAAAATTGTCATTGACAGCTGAATGATAATATCGTATTAAACAAACTAGATTAAAAATCAATGTCCTGCTTTGTAAAACACGTTTAGTGTAGGCTACATATC